TTTGTTTTTTTCCGTTTTTTTTTTTTTTTTGGATTGATTTTGTTTTTTTTCGGTTCGTTTTTTGGCCTTTATTTGGTTTTATCGGGATTGATTGAAGAAGGGGGGGGGGGCGAGATGCTAGAAATATTATATTTTTCAATAACGTAAGCGGGTTGTCAATGGAAATGTTATATAACGTTATAACGGTCAGGGGTGTGTGGTCAGATATGTCATGTTTCTGTGTGACATAATATGTGTGCGCCCCCCACCCTCCCCGCACCCCCTTTTAAGTTACGCCTTGCCATGTACCGAGACAGGCGGTCAACCTACCTTAAAGCTCCTCAATGAAAGATAACAGAAAACCACGTGAACAGTTCCATTGTAGGCCTGACTGGTCATCAGAATATGTGTCTCTCGTACGCTGTCCTCCATAGTCACTGGTTTCAAACCATCCGCACTGAACTCTGTAGGATATTCACCACACCGAACTCAAATATTTTATTCACAGACAAAACATAATTTTTTGGGTTGTTGTTTTTTTTTTCAAGCCAGAATCCGAACAGATTATTCTCGCTACAGTGATAGAAATAACATGGAGACATCCAAATGCTATAATCAGCCTTAAAATTGAGCATGGACTCCTGGAGTAGGCCTCCTCTCCCAGCCTGTAAATGATTAGCGGCCCAGGGCTGGCCCACCAGGTGCGGCTCTTCCGTCATGTCAATGTATGATTGATGGATGGGTCCTTGCCCCACCCTGCTCATGATCGGACACATCAATAACCAACACATACTTTGCATGGGCCGCCGGTGACCTGTAGTTCGTAGTTTCATAAAGCGAACCCTTCTTGCGTCATAGCCTACCAAGTGTACAGTAGTGCATACAAGTGTACAATAATGTTTAAAAGTGTACAATAGTGTATACAAGTGTAAAATAATGTTTACAAGTGTACAATAGTGTATAGTAGTATACAATAGTGTATTGCAGTGTACAGACGTGTATACAAGTGTACAGACGTGTATACGAGTGTACAATTCTTCTTCTTTAGTAAAATTAATTTTTAAACAATTTTCTTATACTTTAAAAGTGTATAAATTATTTAAACAACCCTTAAACACAAATTATTTCGTATAAATCCTTTTTTCAAAATGTAACACCGCGCAAAAAGGGGGGGGGGGGGGTTGAGGCTAAACATTTGACAAACCTGCATTCAAGTACCGCCCGTTATGAGAATCCGATTAGTGTTACCCCCCCCCTCCTCCCCCCAAGACTCGTACGGGAACCTTTTTTCCACACCCCTGAACTATATTAATATTCTAATGACCCTCCCTCTTTTACACCGCATAATTATTTCTCCTACTATTTCAGAAAGAAACAAAAGAAAATATTACGTTACAAACGCACTTGCCATATATTATATTCATAAGAATTACATTTAGCCTATTTATCGGGAAATCGGTGACATCATATTTTCTTCATCTGCCCATCGAAGAACATGAAAAACTGATTTCTTCTTCTTCTTCTTTATTTTGAGGGCCCACGATCAATAAATGGATCATTCTCATTGGGGGGGGGGGGGGGGGGTTTTGG